TACAGGGTACTGGAAATATGCATATATATTACAGAGTACTGAAAATTTACATATATATAGTACAAGGTACAGGAAATTTACGTTTATAGTACAGGGTACTGGGAATTGTCATATATAGTACAGGGTACTGAACATTTACATATGTAGTATAGGGTACTGGAAATTTACATATATAGTACAGGGTAATGGAAATTTACATATATTGTACAGGGTACTGGAATTATGCACATATACTACAGGGTACTGGAAATTTACATATATAGTACAGGGTACTGGAAATTTACATATATAGTACAGGGTACTGGTAGTATGCTTATATACTACAGGGTACTGGAAATTTACATATAAAGTACAGGGTAGTGGGAATTTACATATCTAATACACATACACTCTTAGAATGCCGTGGAAATTTCAATTAATCAGCGCTAGCTGCGTACACGGTGAGACGATTACGGTCGAACCGACCAATATAATCGTTGTGTTCGATGATTATCTCCCGGTTACAAATATTCACATAGAACAGAACTCGACTCAAGTGATGCGAGATACCTTGTAGCGGAAACAATGTTACAGCCGTTCGACCTGTTCGCAAATTAGTGGTGATATTTTTAATATGCGCTAATCTGATTGATTGATAGGGCTATGAAGTGTGTTAATAAATATTATTGCACTATAGTTAGAATGGGAGAACCGTTTTACTCAAAATTGTGATTTAACGAGAGGAACTCAATTAACTAAATACAAATTACCGACATGTTAAGCACAATTACTGCAAATAAATCACTACCAATTTTAATACTGCAGTTAAATTTGGGAGTACATGGCGATCAATTTTCTTACAAATGAGTCAAAATACTACATATTGTTCTTCACTACAAAATTACGGGCAATCAAGCTTAACCTCTACTACACTTCCATATTTTCATCGTAGCCTTTTGTAATAATGTGATAAATTTGAGGCACGTAACAGGATTGCAAAGACACCGTTTTAGATGTATCTAAAAGTGTCCAAAATAGTGAATGTAAAACATATATACATGACAACACTAAACACAAGATTCGATCTCCATCACAGTGTACATTTCCCAACTAATATGCTATGCCAGGGTATACAGTATAAAATTCATACAGAGCTGTTTTAAAAAGACATAATCATCTCTTTTAGAATAATAAATCAGGATATGTCAACAGAACGATTTAAACAGCGTTTGGGGGGAAAACCTGCTCATGTGAACAAATATGGTAACCATGCAAATAAGTTCAGACCACGTGTCTGATTGATAGACCGTAGATTGATAGTTGGCGAGTGTCACGATTATTTGCAAATATATATATGTCAATATCTTCCTCTCATTGATTTGACAATGTATTACAGTATGTGTACCTGTCCTCTAGTTGTTGTCTGTTACTTGCAGTCACTATTGGAATGGTCAATTTCCATGTCGATTACATATCTTATTTTAATGATCCATGTATAAATTATTTTCCGGCATCCCAGAAATTAAGAAACACTACGCAAATACAACACTCACATTTTGATCAAAACGCCCACCTCCTCCGCACAGTCCATTTGTTTTAATCCTGTGCACAAACATCTCATCTTTTCGAAGGCATGCTTCCTGGTCGTGAAAAGAATGGCCTGGCGCCATTACATCTTCCAAAGTAAATAAAGCCACATTGTCAGTGATGTCATGAATATACTTTATATTATGTAAATATTATAAGTTTCGTCACACATATATACTGACGAAGTAAAACTTTTCAGAAATACCATCAATAATTCTGACTCTACATTAAGATTTACAAAGCTAAATTAAAAGAATATAATATTACAAGCCTCACTGTAAACGTGCGACTATTCTTTGCAACTGTAAAAGTGGTGGCGGTATGATTGAACGTGACTCACAAGACCTCTGAATCATTCTTACAATCAAATTAGTTGAACTGCCCGTATTATTGCATCGGTTTCAAAGCCGGGCCGAAATACTTGGTTTGATTAAACGAACATGCAGGCAATTTTAACAGTTTCGCTTGCCTGATTAGTTTGTTTTAGTCGCTCTTCAAACGGCAACTGAGTTATTGTACCTAAATCTCGTTGTCATGTATACTAT